TCTGACCCTCCCCCTGCTCATGTTCTCTCTTTCACTCTCTCAAATAAATAAAATCTTTAAAAAAAATTAAAACCTCTTAAAGTAAGAACTATTATTATTCTCAAATGCGAGGCACAGAAGGTAAGCTCGAGGTGCTGGTAGAGCCAGGATTAGGATCCTGGTGTGTCTAACTCCAGAACCTGACCCAGGTCTACACTGCTAACCCGGGCTTCCCCACCACCCTACAGAACCTCTCTGCTCCAACCACGCCCATCTATCACTGTGTCCCAAGGCACTGTGGCTTCCTGCCCTGAGACCCTGCTTCCCTGCTCTCCACCCACTAAATATTCTATGGTCCCCCCCAGAGGCTCTACCTGACCACCGGCTACACCTCAGCCCTATTTCCCACCGTGCTCTGCCCATGTCTGAACCACACAGCAGAGCTACTTAACTTTATGTCACTTTTCGGATGTTTGGGTTTTAACCATTTCCTGGAAAAGACTATGAGCCTCAGTTTCCCCATCTGACCCCCAACCATGAGGTGGTTGAACCAGATGATTTCTAAGCACTGCATTTCAATGTGTTTCTGAGTCCATACTGTGCATGCATGATGTGGGGAGCTCAGAGAGTGGGGAGCAAGGAATACTTGTTGAGTGACTCATCACTACGCATGTGACTTCCTCTTGCGACTTCTCACCGTCTCCCTTTATGCTGCCTTGGATTTGTTCTATTGAACTGACAGAGGGATGCTCACCCTCTCTTACTAGAGGTGGCTCCCGACCACCCGAGGTCACAGCCACAGAGCCTGTGAGAAGCTCGGGGAGCTCATGTGGGAGGAGGAAGCTTGCAGCCGGAGCCCCACATGCAGGGTTCCTCTCCAGGCACCCAGAGGCCACGTGGGGCCGGATAACCGGCGCGTTCTTGGAGTTTCCAGGGGAAGCCGTGTGGACAGCTGATAGCTTGCTTGGCCTCACAGAGACAAACCTCGGCAGAGGCAAGCAGTTGACACAGAGCCCCCCCCCCCCCCCCCCCCGCTTCTAGCTCTGCAGTAAATTAAACTTCAAACTGGCTTTGGCAGGAGCAGGTGCCTCTGGGTGTTTGGATGATAAGGGAGTGGGCACTCCGTTAAGTCCAATACAGCAGCCGCGGGAGACACACTGATCTATGGGACAGAGAGGGGGCAGGACCCGTGGGACCCTCCCTGCAGAGAAAGGCTGAGGTGGAGATAAGATACAGATGCTGGGAGGGAAAGGGCCAGGCAGGAAGGGGATGACCTCATGGGTCTTGTTCATCCCTCTTATTTCAGATCGGAGGGGATGCGTGGAGACAGTCAGGAAGTCAAACATCAAGAAGCCCGAGCCGATGGTGAGAGGAGCAGGGAGGTGAAGGGACCCGGTCTCAGGTTTGAGGAAGCTTTATGGAGGACCCCCGCTTTACACAAACCCACTATATGAACATCTAAGTGAACAAGATACAGTAGGAGGTGATTTTGTACTTGTAACTTTCCAGTGTCCAGGGCTGTTATTAATGACACCCCGTCTGGTACTTCCCACCACCCAGCCTCGTTCTGAATCATCAGATGAGGAGGTGGAACTCGGGATGCCGGCATCTTCAGTTGTTTTACACTTAGCTGTCTTGGATTCTTGAAATAGTCATTGTTCCCCTCGACTGATACTCCCTCCCCGAACATGAATCATGACAGCACAATTCGTACAGAGCTTTTGCAAATTCACCCATTGTTGCAAGGAGGTACTACTGTCCATTGCTGGTATGTTACCACCCCAACTTAGAGCAGTGCCTCAGCTCTCCACAACCAAGAACATCAGCGCCAGGGTCTCCTTGGTCCCCTGGAAGCAGAGTACCTGGCCTGGGGTGACAGGTGTGAGGTTGGGGTCGCTGTTCAGGAGCCCAGACTGACTCAGATCCTTTGAAGTTAATAATGCAAATTAGCCCTGGGCCCCTAACCTGGGGAAAACACAGCCCCAGATATGGAGCAGCAGCTGGCTTTGGGTGGCCCACGGCACTGCCCAAAGGCTCCACGCTGTCAGAGGCATCAAGCCCTGAGAACTGGAAAGAGAAAGGGGATGTCCAGTTACGATGGATGCCCCGGGAGGGGTGCTGACATGAAGACAGGCCACGTGGGAAGAGCTGGGAGGCAGACAGGGCTGCTGTGTACGGAAGGCTGAACTTTGAACAGAGGAGAGAGTCAGATGTGGGGGAGGAAGCCTGCTCAGAGGAGGGGGTGGGAGCCAACAACCAAGTCCACAGCAGCTGCCTACAGAATGCCAGTCCCACGCCTGAAGCAAGGCGCCTCGCCGCTGTCCTGTGCTGTGCTCCAAAAGACCCCAGTAAGAGGTGTCACCATTACCCTCATTTTATCAGCGCGGAAACTGTAGTACAAAAGGGTCAGCGTCTTGCCCACTGTCCCATAGCTAATAAATCGTAGAGCTAGGGTTTAAAGGTGGCCAGTCTGATCCTAAAATCCATGTTCTTGCTCTTTGTAACACAGATGCCCCAAAGCAGGCATAGTAGAGCTATTGTCCCTCCCTGATCCGGGGACCCCGTCTCCCTCCTATCTCCTTCCCCCAACACTGCCACTGTAGTCCAGTCCCCGCCTGGTTTCAGCCAACAGCACTTGCCCGTTCTCTCCCTTACTTTGGGAGGGAAATGGCTGGGCTGGAACCTTCCTGTGAAGTATCTGGGTGGTATTTAAAATCCATTGTGGGGGAACAGCTCTGGCTTCAGATGAAAGGCCTTTGGGGTAGAAAGATCCAGAAGCCCTGTTTCTAACAAATGCTAATTATGCCTCAAACACATTGAGATGTAAAAGATGAACCAAGGGTTGCGAGCTCATAAAAATACTTGGCGCCTAAAAGAAGGGCATGAAAAAGATGCCCCAAAGCTCTCGAACGTGGAATAAAAATATCAGTTTCTTTTATTCCCCTGATTCATCTGGCTTAATATTTTAGAAGTATTGACTTTAAGAAGCCAGGCTGCCTGGGTCACCGGGAGAGGAAATTTACATGTGGTAAAGACCTCCAGTCCCAGTGCACGATGTGTGCTCTCTGCTCCGCCAGGGAAACCCCGGAGAACCCAAGAGAAGGAAGGGGCTCGGAGCTGGCTTCTGGAAGAACACTCTACAGCACTATCTAGGAATCTGGCCCCTTGTCAGAGACCTGTCCTTCTGGACAAGGAACCACCACAGATCAGATGAGGAGATTCACAAGAAGTTTTCGCTGGTATTTCTGATCTCATTCAGAAGACGCAGAGAAATTGGAATCTTACTTTCATTGTGCTAGAATTTCATCTCTCTGCCAGCGAGGATTTCTACCAGCTCCTTGCTGAATCCCCCAGGCCTAAAACAGAGTATAGCTGCGTTCACTACATATGTATTACCTGATTGACTGAATAAGTGCGTGGCTATATCAGGCACCTGTTCTGCCTCCATTCCCCCATCGGGACGAAACTGTGTCCACAGATCCGGCTGGTCTCACCAGTCCTGTTCTGTAGGGCAGGAACCCATCCTTGGTCTCTAAGCCTGGACATTCATAGCTATTAGGCCTGTCTGGCCAACACCTGTGACTGGTGAGATCGGCCATGCAAGATGAGCTGGACCCAGCAGATCCTCTACCTTGGAAATGCAAACCAAGAGATGCTGAGGGAAGCTGCCACTGATGTACACACAGGGGAGAGACTGTGAGCCAGTGGACGGCAGCGTCTGTGTCTACCTTGTTCTCTGCACTGTCCCCAAGGCAGAGACAGAGCTGCTGTCTTCCTCCCTTCCTGCTCTGTCTGGATCCACAGGACACCCTATCTACTGCACTTGGGCCAGTGGGATATGTCTCTTCTCTCACAGCCTAATGGCCCAGATCAGAGCACTGCTGAGTCCTCCTCTCCTGCCCCAGAAGACCAGCTGTCTCAATATATACCTGAGCAAGTTGTTCGTCTTTTTGTCTGTTTTTGCCATTGAGGTTAAAATGGGTGACAAAGGGAGGAGATGGGGTGGAATCTAGGGAAGAGACCTTATCGCCTCTCCAGGCTAAGGGGCTCCTCTCCCTCCTTCTACACTGGGGTTGTTCATGGCCAGCTCGGCTCTGAGCCACCGGCCCACTGACTGGGGAAGCTCAGCCTGGAAAGTTGTCAAGGTAAAGCCAGCAACACACCAGAGAACTCCAGGGAGGTCATGGTGGCCTCGGTGAGGCCTTGCAGGGTGAGCTCAGGACTCCAGGGCTCAGCACCGGCTCAGCCCTTGACTCTGTCTGTGGATGGGCAAGTTACTCATCATCTTTGAGCTTCAGCTTCTCTTGTGAAGTGGGGACAAGAACACTTAACTCTCGTGTTAGTAGAATTAAAAGCAGTGCCCCGCGCGTGGCAGGGGCTCCACACGTGGGATCTGAGTGTCCTACTGCGTATGTCTGTAAACCCCTGCAACTGACAGAAGATTTTGCTATATTTTGCAGCCTTTAAACCCCACAACAACCTACAAGATTGGCAAAGGAGAGCCTAGCATTCCCATTTTGCAGATGAAGAGACTGAGGTTAAACAGGGATATGTAATTTGTCCAAGGTCACCCACAGAGCAGTCAAACTCCATCCCAAGTCCCACAGTGCTGCCCTCCACACAAATAAGCAAGATAGGTGATCAGATGGGCGTTGACCAAGTGACCCCCCCCCCCCCCCAGCTGGCTACTCCCCTCTTTTCTTAATCACGCACAAGGTTTCATTCAGGGGTTTGTGTACAATATGTCCAGGAGATGAATGAATCCATAGATGAAGGAATGAATGAGTGCGTGAATGAATGAATGAATGAATGAGCATCCTGTCTTAATTCTACTCCACACACACTTGGCAACAAAACCTGGGGATCTCCCCCAGACTGTGCCCTTCGGGGCCTGCTGGTGCATGTTTCTGCCCCTGTCCAGAGAATCTCTAACCACAGGCCTGGGGACGGGTGTAGCTCCCACTACTTCACCCCTCTTGCCAGCAGGGAAAGCAGAGGGCAGCCCTGCTCATTCTACGTACTGGTTTCTGCAGTCTCGTACTCGCTGTCTCTGAGAAGCTCAAAGATGTCCACTTCGACCTTGGCCTTGCCCAGCCTCTCAGGAGCGCGGTTGATGCGGTTCTTGGCCAGGGTGATGGAGAGCCGCTCCCCTCTGCTGCACTCCATGGGGTCATCCAAGATAGCAGCTGTGGGCAGGCAACCACACGGAGACAGTTGGTACCCTCTCCTGTTACCCTCCTCTTTCTCCAGTCTCTCCTCTCCTCCCCCCCCACTGCCACCTCTGCCAGGCAGCTCCCCGCCTCCCCTCCACCTCCGCCGTTCTTGGAACTATTCCAAAAGCAAGTCCTCTACATGCTGAGGGTCTTGGTTCGTAGCCATGCGCGGCCATGAATTCCAATGTGCCTGTCCACCTCGGAAACCCTGAAATGTCACAGCAGGCCACCAGGGTCTACAGGTACCAGACCCAGATGTGGTGACATGCTTGGAGGTACGCCGACACGCACACACAGGCACACACGTGCAAAGGAAGGGACACAGGGGCCGTCTTTGGAAAATGGTATTCTGGGCATGTGCAGGACTCTCCCTGAGACAGGAGAGGGGTAAAGGAGACCAGGCACGAGAGGGGGAGTCGTGGCACATTCGGCCGCACGCCAGCTCTCCAGGCTCGGACGCTGAGGAACCATGTCGGCTGGTGGGCCAGGCAGGGTCTCGGAACTTCTTTTCCTCCCTGAACATGAAGAGTAGGAAGACAACCTCAGGGCCTTGGTGGTGTGAGGATTCAGTAAGATAATGTCTGTAAGTGACACGTCACACACATTTGACTGGCGTGACTTAAAATGAGTGGTTGGAGTCATTTAGTTCCACGAGCTGCCCATCTTCCAAAAGCAGCATTAAAGGTAAGAGTTCTGGAAGCCTAGAGACCTGCGTTCAAATCCCAGGTCCACCCTGCAGCAGCTCCGAGACCTGTTTCCTCGCTTATAGAATGGGAAGAGAGCCCACTCCTTGGGCCGTCATGGAAATGACCTGAATGGTCTATGTGAGGTGCTTGGCACAGTACCCGAAAGGCTCAACAAACCTAGCTCTGGTAGCCTTCGTTCTCTTGGTAGAGGAAGTCACAAGACTGCAAATCTCTGCAGATCTCTACAAAAACTTGTGCATACACGCTCATCACAGCACTCTGCGTAACAGCTCAAAAGTTTGGAAAATCCAAGTGCCCACCAACTGATAAATGAATAAGACAAATGTGGTGTCTCCATACAATGGGACAGTGTTCAACAAGACAAAAGAATGAAGGACTCACATGGGCCACCACACGGATGAACCTTGAAAACGCGATGCTAAATGAAAGAAGCCAGACACAAAAAAACAAAGGATGATCCCATTGGTAAGAAATTTCCAGTAAGGCAAATCCACGGAGACAGAAAGTAGATCAGTGGTTGCCTAGTGGCAGTGGTGGGAAAGCTGAGACAAATGGGGGGGGGTGACTACTAATGCATACACAGTGGTTCTTTTGGGGGTGCTGACTCTGTGAATACACTAAAAACCAGTGAGTTGTATATTTTAAATGGGTAAATTGTGTGGCATATGAATTACACTTTAATAAAGCTCTTACAGAAAAAAAAGAAGAAGAAATATCAAGCTTATCTTTCAGAGGTTGAAGGCTCAGAAAAGCGACATGGGGGTATCGATCCAAATGGGTTTCGCTGACATGTGAAATCTTTGCGGCTGGTGTGGACAGTAGAGACCCAGGTCCCATGCTGTCTTTTCTGTACATTGCTCCCACACCTACTGTGACCCATTTTCCAACCCGAAATCCAGGACACAGAATATTACAAAGCCTTTCTCCCCCCGTGATGTGTGGATATGTTTATATGCACAGCCTTGCTGGATGATAAAAATCAGATTTCATTGACATCAGTTGGGCCACACGTTGGGTAACAGAGGCACATCCCAAGACCTGCCATTCAAGTGGGCTTCTGGGAATTATGCAGCAAAATCGTCACACACCTGGTGTGATCACCACCTGTAAGAGCGGTCCAAAGAGCTACACATGTGTGATTGAAGAGACTGAGGACACCCAAAATATCTACCCAGGTAACTCAGGAAAGCAAGACCAGGATGAGAAGGTTCCTCGGGAAGCAGACACCTAAAATATTGTGCTACGATGTCCCAGGAAGAAGACTCTGGGAAGAGAAAGGAAGTAGGGCAGCCTGTAGAAGTGATTCTTAAATGGTGTTCCTTGGAGGGCCCTGGGTTCCATTAGGAAGCAGAGGGAGAGGCCACATGGGTGTCCCAAGCCCCTGCCAGCTTCAACAAGCACACCTCCACACCTGTCAGTTTTGGATACTGGGGTTCCACGGAAGACTTAATATGGGGGGAAAAATGTTTCGCTGTTAAAAATAAAATAGAAATCATTAGTCTAACCCTAAAACATAGAAAAGAGACATCGGCAATGTCAGGAATTGGCATAGCCATCACCCACAAGTCATGAGAAAGAGGCACGGGATGCTTGACACTTGAGTTTTATGTGAACAGGCCCACATTTATCCCGTGACATTAGTATAAGTGCTGAGTGGATATGGGCTCACTTAATCTCTGTAATGACTCTGAGCTGAGCGCATTCCTCCTGTTATCCTCGCTTGGAGATGAGAAAATGGTCAGAGAGGTCAAGGGACATGCTCACATTCACAGGGCTGGTGAGGGGGAGAGGCGTAAGGTGATCCCAAGTCAGCCTCATGCAGACCCTCTACCCAGAACCAAGGCTCATCTTCCTTCTAGTAAAACTTGTCTTCGTCAGGATTTGCTGCTGAGAAGGGGGTGTACTAAGGAGGGGTGTCTTAGCTCAGGCTGCGGCCACAAAATACCATAGATGGGATGGCTTGGCTTATACAGCAAACATTTCTTTCTCCCAGTTCTGGATGGAGGTGGGGGGACCTGAGATCAGGGTGCAGGCAGAGTTGGGTTCGACGAGGAGCCTGCTTCCTGATTTGTAGACCTCTGCCTTCTCACATGGTTCTCATAGGGTGGAAAGAAAGGGACAACATTCTCTGGAATCTTCTAAGGGCACTCATCCTATCCTGGAGGCCCCATCACCATCATGACCTCATCTAAACGGAATGCTTCCCCAAGGTCTTGCCTCCTAATACAAAGCTATCTGTGGCGGGGTTGGGGGCGGGGCTAGGATTTCAACACGTGAATTTTGGGAGGACACAGTTCCATTCATCGCAGCAGACCACATGAGCTTGGCAGCCTCCATAAGGAAAGAAAGTGTCACCAAGGCAAATCAACTCTGAAACACTAACAGGCAGGACCCTGGGCCTCTGGACATTCCCCTAGCTAATGCTCCCAAGCCCTGCGAGATTTCTAGACGAGGGGTCATTCTTCTCTTTGGACCATATGATCTTTAAATATTAGGAAATCGCTTGCAATAAAATAAGTAATAAAATAATCTCTCATGGGGGCACCTGGGTGGCTCAGTGGGTTAAAGTCTGCCTTCGGCTCAGGTCATGATCCCAAGGTCCTGGGATCGAGCCCCGCATCAGGCTCTCTGCTCAGCAGGGAGCCTGCTTCCCTTCCTCTCTCTCTGCCTGCCTCTCTGCCTACTTGTGTCTACTACTACTGTCTGTCCAATGGATAAATAAAATCTTAAAAAAAAAAAAATCTCTCAGAAAACGCCCATGTCCCCTGTCAAGCTAGGAAGGAGCTCAGCCCTCTGGTGGCAGAGGGGATTTACTTCAGTAATGCTTTAATAGGGTCGTTTAGGCTTTCGACACGGGTCTTGCCTCTGTCCCATCAGTAGATAAAGGGCACAATCATACCTAAACCACAGGAGGCACTGCACTCCCAATAGTCTGTTTCAGGGTTGTGCGTTCTCTTCTTGAACAGTGTGCACTGAGGACACGTGCTGTGGACTGAATGTTGCCCCCCTGGCCACCGCCGCATTCACATGTTGAAACCTTAGCCACCAATGCAACGCCATTTAGAGACAGCGCCTTGAAGAGGTAATTAAAGTGATACGAAGTCATAAGAGTAAGCCCTTGATCGGATAGGATGGGTGTCCTAAGGGACAATGGAGAGACCTCTTTCTCTCCTACTATGTGAGGACACAGCGAGAAGGCAAGCCAGAAAGCAGGCTCCTCTCACCAGAAACCGAGTCTGCTGGCACCTTGACCTTGGACTCCCAGCCTCCAGAACTGCGAGAAATAAATGTCTGTTGTCGAAGCCAGCAAGGCTGCGGTGTTTTGTTATGGCAGCCCGAGCCGACAGAGATAATGTGCCAGTGCAAACCCAGATGTACGGGACGTCAGCCAGACGCGGGACACCACAGAAGCAACTCACAGAGTGTCACCAGACATACTCTGAGACAGAGGGAGCATGGCCAGGTGTGGAAGAGGGAACGTGGGAATTTTCTATTAAGGGGCCTAGGAGGTCCCCCGAGTACCTCCTTCTTCTCTCCCTCCCCACAGGGCCCGAAGAAGGGCTCTGCACTCCAACCAACCTCTGCGCTCTGGGTAACACTTTGCTTCAGATTTGGGGTTTTAGACAATGATAACTCCTATCTGGGAACAGCCTCAACTGGATGGCTGGTTGGCCTCAAACGTATTGGGATCAGAATAATCAGGACGGTAACAGGAACCCAGATGCTGAGGCTGTGGACACAAAGGGTGAGGGACCAACTTGGGCCCCGTTAGGACACCAGAAGAACACTTTCCCAACAGGCGGTTACCAAGAGCACCTTGCTGTTTGGCAGTCCCCAACGAGGGGCACCCCCCCAGGGTGGAGAGCAGTGTGCTCAGGACCAAGTGTGCCGCTGATGCCCCTGGCACCGCGCTCTGTCTCACAAGCCCCGTGATCGCGCTGGGCCAAGATGCTCCGAGCTCCCGCCACTGCTTAATGAGGAGCAGTAGCACCTGGCACAGCCGCCATCCCCAGGACTGTTCTGCAGAGAAGCGAGCTAAGGAGACACAGGAAGGTCTGGGGCTACAGCCAGGACAAGGCTGAGATGGGGACAGGCGATCAGGGAGCAGGGTCTTCCCCAGGTTTCCAGCTGTGGGGACTCGTGCACAATGATCTGTACATCGCAGGTCCTCAACAGGCCTCTCTTGCGCCCAGGGAGCTGGTGACCCTCAACACTGACATTGGGCTTTTCTTCCCACGAGCCAATAGCTTTACCTCCGCCCAGTTC